GTCTCACGCGGCCGCAAACGTAAAACATGCGCGGTCTCCAACATGTTAATCTAGTACTGCATCCCTTCTGCATTGAGGGCAGGAAATGTCAAAGAGTAATAAGAAGGCGAAGAGCGAAGAGGTGAAAAAGCAAAGAGCATGTTGAAGCGAGGCGGAGGAGGTGTAGGGGAAGTTTGCTGAAGAAAAAGGATATCAACAGCGCACTGCAGCGAGAGGAAAAAAAAACAAGGACATGGGAAAAGTGAAAGACAATTGCGTGCAGAAAATGCTAAGAAGTCGAGAAATAAACTTCTTATTTGGGTGCTTCCTTACAATTTATCCAACACAGGGATTCCTATTTTAGTATCACTGGTCGCAGCTTTTTAATGCGGATTTAATAATGCTGATCCCAAAGAAGAAAGTTGATTGGGTGAGGTGAAAAGATAAAAGGGGCAGTGAGCATATGAGTGGGTGTAATAAGGGAAGAGGGAAAAATGAACATTGACGGAAGGAGAAGAGATGTCACAACTATGAAAAAGACAGAAACAAGTACCAAGTGAAAGATGGCCTTGTGTAGTTTTGAGCGAAGAAGTCGGGAAGTTGGGCATATATTCTACTATGCAGGTGCTTACGATGTTCGATTAGAAGATCAAAGGTGATAAGACGCGTTCGATCTGATTATCGACAAGGGGTAAAGGACGGTCGTTGAACGTCTACAGTCAAATTTTCCTCAAAGTACCCTTTTTTGGCCGCAAGGTGCGTCTGTAAATGGAGACCAAAGAACACAATTATAAAATATTCTAAAAAAATCTGATAATCGATAGTTCATGGTGGCAGTTAATGGCGACAACGGCGTCTACAAAATGGGATGCTTTTTATCAAAGAAATGATTGACCAATTGCCATCGCATTCTATTATAATAGTTGTGACTCATTACAATAATCGTCTATAAGGTATCATAGGTGGCACGAGCTGTTGCACCATATACCCTCCCTTTCAAAAAGCGAGAAAGTGTCGGGTGCAGACCATGCACCACAAGTGACGACGGCCTTCACAAAATGTTAATGTTTTCTGCCAATGAAATGATTAGCCTGTTGCAGTTGTATTCTATCGATTGTCACTAATTACAACTATCATTTACCAGAAATCAGCTATCACTATGAACAACTTCTAACCAGATTTACTTGGAGGCCGTCGTCAGTTGTGGTGTTTGGTCTGCACCCGACACTTTCTCGCTTTTTGAAGGGGAGGTTACCTCTATTCGATAAGACTTGAAAATCGATTGATATGGCATAGAAATGTCCCACCAAAATCGAAACTCGCAGCATTGCTACTACTCTTATAAGGACATTTGCGAATTTTTCAATCTGCCATATCCGGTGTCAAAATGCGTCAAAATGGCCCGCTTCAAATTTTCATATCACTACTTTTTTCTTCTTGCCTCCCGGTTCTTATAGATTCCGGATAAATGCATCAGCCCCCTCTGACGTATACGTATAACGTAGAGGTTACCCCACCCTCTATTTGCGGAGTGCGCCGGCCGCCCTACTACTCTGTTCCTGAAGTTGAGTTCAAATATACGCCGCATTGGCGCATACGAATAGCGTCACGCTTTTTCCGAAGTCTTGGCCCCTTGTTCCGTGAGAGATGCTGTTAAGGTGTGTTCAAGAAATCATCCTACAAGAGATGAATTATTAGCAAGGAGAAAGAGGAGAGTAAAAAAGCACCAGAGCCAGAACCAGAACAGGTTGATACGGCAGAAGAAGCCGTGAACTCTGATGCGGAACATTTATGCGATGAGCACGAAGCCATAATGGAAATCAAGAAGGATTTGATGGCAGACGACACTCCGTTGATCAAGACAGAAGCACCAGATGATGAATGACTATAAGATTGTAAAATGTAGCGGTACGTATATAGCTTTTGAGTCTCTCGACCAGTCACTTTGACGCTTAACACAATATTTTAACGTATTCGTTTCAGTAGCGATAGGTCATTAACAAGTGACACCCGGGTTGTTTTTTTTAATTGCACATTATGGTAAAAATTTCATTCAAAATACATGTACTTGATTTTAAATAGATTCCTTGTTGTGCGTTTGAACCTGTTCCTGGACGGTCCTAGTTGGCTATGCACAGCAATCACCAAGTTTCTCATATTCTCCAACGGAAACCAATGGTCCGAGAAGAAAGTAGGCAATTGTATGGCCTGGAATGAAATCGTTTATTGTGCTGC